CAACAGAGCAGTTGCACACATGAGCTCATGGGATCTATGACAATGTACAAAAGAACTATACAAGCTCAGGTCAAATGAATTCCTAGAATGGAAACAGGATCTGGGCACAGCACATCACCCCTATCTGCATAGCTATTGGCAATTGAGAACTTATGGGAAATGAAAAACTAGTTTTCTTTAAGGGTAGAATCCTTGTAGGTCAACTATAGTCTAAGAGGTTGCTCCTCCCCACCCCCAAACTATTATTTTGTAGAGAAACAGGGGTGAATCATGAAGAAGTTGAAAAGAGGAACTGAACATGATAAAAAAATATGGCATAAGAAATTCTTAAAGGATTAATAAAACTCTTTTAAAGAAGAAATATTGATTATGCTAATTTTTATGTATTTCTTCTGAAAACTGTTTTATATTGCATTTTTAAAATACTGGAGTATTTTATCATATTAGTTATAATTATTGATTGCTGAATTAGAGAGAGAACCAATAACATTATTCATGCTAGATCAACATTGCATTGCTGAATGACTAAATCCATCTAATTGCTTTTATAAAGACACTTGGTGTGCAAGAAAGTATATGTATTTAAAGTACTTCATTTGTGTCTGTGTGGACACTGATGAAGCAACATTCATCTAAAATGGTTTCTGTTTACTTTAGTGGTGTTAAGACTTACTGTGACTTTTTTTCTTTGTATTTACTTCAGGTGTTGGAATTATATATAATGGGTTATTTATTTACTATTTTTAAAATAGGAATGTCATTTTTCTTTCTGTTTTTCAAACTAAAAAAGGAAGAAACAACAGTAACAATTTGGAAAAGTTGTATAGTTCATTTAGTAACAAGGACACTATGAATATGAGAACTGTTTTGAAAAGATTATGGTGAGCATGCTTTTACGACACTATGCTCACATGAATAATAATTGTAGTCTTGACAGAAGTCACATGATACTACAATAATTGCTCCTCAATTATTGGTGACAAGATAATGATGTCCTTGACCTAGCTTTTCAATATAGACCATTATTTAGACAACAGTGTTGTAATGCTTTAAAAAATTGTAACTCCTTGGTTGGTTTAGAATTTGGCAAATACTGTCTTCCTTGGGTCTCTGCTGTCTTTCAGAGCTCAGATACCAACCGTTCATAAATATTTCAGAGCTCAGACACAAACTATTCATAAATATTAATATGCCAGAAAAGAATGTGTTTCTGGTTTTTATTCCTGGTAGTCAATTGATTCTGACAGGATTTTAGTTTAATTTTTGTATGGAACTTACAGATCCAAACCAGAGAAAGAAATGCAAAATTCAAAGTATTAAAAGGTTTAATTTTTATTTTCTAGCATGCTTCATTAAAAAAGGGATTTTCTTTTGTGTGTGTTTGATTTTTTTCTGAATGACTCATTAATAAAATCAAAGGTGAATGGCAAGTTGTCACTAATCTAAATTTACATTTTAGAAACATCTATCCAACATTTAACAAGGAGATAACTATATGTGCATTTTATCTTTCTATTTGCTATATTTAATATATACATAATATGTAACAATATTTTATTAATAATTAAAGTTAAGTTATAATGTAAAATTGCATGATTTTAGAATGTTAAAGAGTCAGAACAAAATACAAACAGCTATGCTAGACATATGGATTGAGACTCCTCAAGCTCATGAACACATTGATGTCAACAGGAGCGAAATATTTATTATTCAGTTGGAGCACACTTACCTTACAGAGTTAAGCCTATGTCTGTCCTTGACCTGGCAAAGCTTCTCCACACTCCTGGTTTGAAACAGTGAGCTGAAGTGATATGTAAGAATCACTTTCCTCAATGATAAATCAAGATTCATTTAAGCACAGCATTTGACATGGACTCTAGTATGAACAATCTTTGTTACTGTAAATGAAGTACATATAGATTCATCAGCTAATATGTCCAGAGGAAAAGCATAGTACCTATATGTAAGTAATTTCTCTCTTTGCCAATATTGACTGGCATTAATTGCCTTTCTTATTGATGAATGAGTTTTATGAGCAAAGGTTTTTAAATTAGTTAGTTCATGCCAGAAATACGAGTGAGAAATTATTAGTTCGTCCTGCTCTTTAAAAGTAAGAGTGGGTGGGAAGCACTGGGGTATTTGTTATGTTTAAATAATCTATTAGATTGTTTTTGAAGTTCCACTATAACAAATTCAAATATCCCTCCTTTGACATGTTTCAGTTCACATGACTTGTTTTCATGACATGAAAGACATTCTCAGCAGTTTTCAAACTCCTGTCTAGAACTCACACAACTACATTTCCCTTTAACCTTACACTGTGTATACTGTCATAAGCCCTTTAATTTTTCATCATACACATGCATGTGCAGACACATTCACCAAGGCACTGGAGGGGCAAACACATCATCAAGCAGTCTTATAACTCAAACTCAGGAGTTTTAAACTTATTTCCTATATGTGAACCTAAGTTACTGAGATATTGAAGTCTTCATTTTGATTAATTTCTAAACTTTCTCATTTATGTAGCTCAAATCACAATAGCAAATAATAGTGATTGATAATATTATAAAGAAAGTAGTAGGCACTAACTCTTAAACTGATGAAAATCAGAACAGTATTTTCCTAATTTTTGCTTGTGTCACTAATAGTGTTAAACAGCAATTTAAGCATGGTACAATTTTAACCATATAAAAAAGTAATGAGACTAAGGATTTTTTTTTTCTAATAGAGTTTAAGTAACACTTTACAGCTGAATTTAAATCATGCTATATCTCTATGTTAGGCATTTTCTTTCAATATAATTAAGCTCACTGTTTTATACTTGTGTATACATATGTTTACATCTCTGTTAGTACACATAGGGTGTCTCTAAGTACACATAGGACACAAGTTCTATATTCAGAGATCTCATCTTATACTCTTGCTGTTTTCGCAAGGTGAGCACACTTTGTATAACAACAACAAAAGACATAATTTGCTTTGTATGTATAAATGGATCTTTGTAAAATCTACTTTTATTATATGTGGGGATCACCTGCATGTATTTATATGCACCATATGCATGTCTAATGTTGCTGAGTTCAGAAGAGGTCACCAGAACCCCTGGAATTGTAGTTACAGATGTTTGGGAGTCACTGTATGAATGTTGAAACCAAACCCAGGTCCTCTGCAAGATCATTAATAATTGTTAACCACTAAGTTAATTCTCTAGCCCATAAAATTATTTTAAGGATTACAGAAAACCTCTCTATAATTCTAAGGCTCAAGTAATTTCTTGTTTATTTTAGTATTAGATGACTATCATATTTGATATGCACTACAGACCAGGTCACCCACCATGTAGCTGCACCATGGTTAGTAGCAGAGGTTTCAGGAGAGATAGTAAGGTGTACCCAACTTTACTTTCTCTTTTATGTTACAAAGTCAGAACTCAGATTTTGCTCATATTCAAATTGTACCATAGCTTTGATGTTTGATTGATAACATAAGCAGTAATTCCAATGTGATTATTGTCAGTATATATTGAACTTTCTTATAAAAGTGGAATATATAAACCTTTATTATTATTTTTTTTTCTGTTTTTCTAGAAAGGCATCTTAGATCCAACCTTACATTTTTTTCACCTTTCATAATGAGATTTCACATAACCTTTTGCAAAATGAATTAATATTTCCAATGGTTATGAAAATAGCTTTGCCATTTGTTTCCTTTCATGACTATATGTTCCTTTAAACAAATAATTTTGCTTTTCTCTTAAGTCTTATGTAGAATTTTCTTCTATTTCAGTTAATAATAAACTGCCTATGAGAAAGTTGGTTATTTAAAAAGGAATAAAACAATATTCAACTGAAATATGTGCAAAAAATAGAGTTTATTTTTATTTTCCAATTAATAGTCAGTTGTAGACAGGACCAGAAAATGCTTCCTGCTTTGTGTGGCTAGCAAGATCCCATTCTCAGCTATGAGTGTTTCTATATTTTCACCTTTCTAATGCTGACACAAGTTAGCTACAGTAGCCTAAATCATTTGAAGCTACTTCTTCACTGTCCATGGAATTCTATGACGTGTATTTTGAGTATTGTTTTCAAATCTCACTTAATTTACACATAAATATACTAAAATGAAAATACTACCAGCTCTCAAAAGTTTTGTGGCTACTTTTCTGGAACTTTTCAGTTTATTACTAAATAGAAAAAATGTTATACAGTCTTGTTTCTTACACAATTTGTTGACATAATTTTCTCTTCAGGAGCTTTGGGTCATTTAAACTTATGAAAGTTTAATTTGTTCACAAATCTCATTAAGCAACATAAAAGAAAAATGTGATTAAATGAAGAACAGGAAAGTCATGAATATTTTAGCCATTCATGACTAATACCATTTTAAAATATAAAATATTTTAGTAACATTCTCCTAAGGTGAAATGTTTAGTTTCCTAGTTTCCATGTAATTGCCTTTATTTATTCTGCAGAATATTTAAAAACAGATAAACACAACTGGAGTACTCATGTAGAACCACAGGATGGGAATTTAAGGGGTAACTCATGTGGGTAAATTAAGGTACTTCTGTCTTTCAGGTATTTAGTTTTCAATATTATTATTATTCTACATGCTACTTGCCCTGCTTTCATTTTTTAAAACTTATTTACACTCAAAATACAATGATAGAGCATTGGTTCATGATCTGGCCTACTATGCATTTGTCATACAAATTAGGCTAAAATAGAGAAATAATCATTTAATTGGTATTTTTATTTATAGGTAGCTTACAATTTTTGTGTATTTACATACTTTACACCAATCATTCATCACCATATGTGGTGATAGCTGTGTCCTGATATATATCAGAAGAGAAAGCATAGGTTTCTCTGCCCATCCAGGTCCATTTGTAGATGCTAGTGTTAGATAGGCTGCTGCTACCTCCTGACCTTTCAACCTTTCACATGCTGCAGTTTCAGGGTTACTCCACTGTTGACTTGGTGACAGCATGGTCTCTCCAGGGTGAAAGTGAGCAGTGATCCTGAAGACTGTCTGGCAGAACTCAGCATGTCAAGCCAAGTGCTTTGCTTTGCTTGTAGGAGCAGAGCCGCCAGCAGAAGAAGCAACAGCCTGACTACCTAAAAACAGAGGGTCTAAACAAGCTACTTTGGCAGCAAAAAATGAATGAATACAGTGAAGAACAGCAAATAAATTAGAAAATTCCAACTCCTGGAAGGAAAAAGAAATAAATAGATCAGGGGAAAATGAATTTCTTCACAAAATTGTCAACAAGTTGTCATTTTTATGTGTAGCAAACATATGGATTCAAGGTTATATAATATATGAAAATATAATACTCTCATAGACATTTTTATCATGCCAAGAAGATTGAGGGCTGAATAATACTTTTATATACTTAATGAAACTGATATGGAGATTGTTTAGGATGACTCATATTCAGTAAACAACTGAAATTAATTATTATTATTTGATGATGTATTTTTGATGAAGGATGAAGAACCATAACTAATTTGCATACTGTTCCTGATGTCTACAATTTATACAGTGATATTCAGCTTATGAGAACACATTATACTACATCAGAGAACTGCGAAAGAAAATTAATAGGCCTCAAGTGTTTTCTTGAACTTTGCAATAGGAACACAATAGGATACATCAATGTCTCAAAAGTTGTCTTTCACATTCTAATATTTCATAGCATACTATAACGAGATTTCAGAAAGGACTAAAAATTATTCATGTCTTTATTACAATTCCCCAAATCTTTTCCAGTAAGAAAGTCTTTTTTAATTGCCATAATTACCTAAGACTTACTTTACTCTAATCAAAAATTAGTTAAAATACTATTATTTCATTTTCCCTTCCCTTTTCTCTCTTTCCGGTATTTACCACATCTTCCCCCGTTCTCTGCATTCCACCTCTCCCATCCCTCTTAACTCATGCCCTCATCTTCTCTCATTATTATATTATTAAATTATGTGTTTTAAATATAGTATATGTGCATATGTATCCTGTTGAATTTATTTAGATGAATAATTCTGGATGTCATTGAACATCTGTAAGTCCCACTCTATTTCAACCCATCCATCAGTTGTGACCTCAGTGGCTCCCTGAGACAGAGTCACCTATTGCACAGAGATGACAAAGAGAGCTGACCAAGAATGGTTTCTCTTTTTTCTTTTCTTTTTTTTTTTTTTTAGTTTTTTAGAATTTATTTTATTTACTAACTTTTAAATATTTATTTTTATTGTTTTTTTTATTTTATATAACCAAGTCCATTTAAATGAAAACAAACATTTATAGACAATATTTGGGAATTTGGGTGTTGTTCTTTCCAAACTACTTCCTGCTGGTAAGGGGCGCTGTCATGGGGGATTCAAAGAAGACCAAGAATGGTTTCTCATGACACAGAAAGTAAACACCCAACTGGTCCACCTGAGGATCCCTGAGACAAACCATCTGTAAGGATTGGACCAAGAGGCAAAGGCATCACCTGCACCAACTGGTGGAAGAGATGTGTAAATGCTCCAATGCAGGATACAATAACCAACCTAAAGAGTGATATGACAACACCAGGACTTAGTGGTCCTATAACAGGAAGACCTGAATACACCAACAAAGAAGAATCAGGATAAAATGACCCTAAAAATAACTTTATGAAGGTGATAGAGGCCTTTAAAGAAGAAATGAAAAATTCCTGTAAACAAATGGGAGAAAAAGACAAAAAATTGTAAGAAACCAATAAATCCCTCAAGGAATCTCAAAAAAAAAAAAAAAAAAAAAAAAAAACAACAAAAAAAAAACAACCCCCCCCAAAAAACAAAACAAAACAAACAAAAACAAACAAAATGCCCTCCCAAAACAAAGCAAAAACAAAAGCAAACAACAACAAAAACAAAACAAACAAAAAACAAAACAAAACAAACCAATCAAACCAGTCCCAGACTGAAAACACACACATACACACACACACCACAAACTGAGGGAATGGTGGAAATGGAAAAAAATCTGTATAAACAGGCAGAGATTACAGCCCAAGCATCATGAACAGAATGTAAGAAATGGAAGAGAGAATTTTAGGCATTGAAGATATGATAAAGAAAACATTAAAGCAAAGAAAGTCATAGAAGATATGATAAAGAAAACTTTAAAGTCAACAAAGTAATAACACAAAATATATAGTAAATCAGAGACACAATGAAAGGACCAAACTGATAGCTCAAAGGCACATAAAATATATTCAACAAAATCATAGAAGAAAGCTTTCCCAACCTGAAGAAGGAAAGGTCTATGAAGATACAAGAAACCTACAGAACAACAAATAGCCTGGGTGTAAAAACAAGTTCTCTTGCCACATAATAAATGAAACACACAATACATCGAGTAAAGAGAATATTAAGAAATGCAATGGAAATAGGTCAAGAAATATACAACAGTAGACCTATCAGAATAACACCCAATTTCTCAATGGAGACTCTTAGAGGCAGAAGGTCCTAGACTGGCATAATTTAGACACTAAGAGACCATAGATGCTAACCTAGACTACTATAATGAGAAAAATTTTCAAACACCATAGATGAAGAAAACAAGATATTCCATAACAAAAAGTGCATTTAAAAATACCTATTCGCAAATCCTGTCCTATAGAAAGCACTAGAAGGAAAACTCTAACCCAAGGAAGTTAGACATACCCACTGAAGCACAGGCAATAAATAATCCAACACCAGAAAATCCTAAAACAGGGAAACACATACACACCAACACCAAAAAATAGCAAGAATAAAAGTCACTGGTCATTGATATCCCTTAATATCAGTGGACTCAACTGGCCTATAAAAAGACACAGACTGACAAAATGGATATGAAAACAGGGTGCGCTCTTCTTCTGCATGCAAGAAACCAACCTCAATTTCAAAGATAGACCAGACCTCAGAGCAAAGTGTTGAGAAAAGACGTTCCAATGAAAAGTATATAGGAAGTAAGTTGGTACACTTATCCTAATATCTAACAAAACACACTTCAACTGAAGTTAATAAAAAGATGATGAAAGACACTTCATAGTAATCACAGAAAAAAATCTATCAAGATGTAGTATCAATCCTGAACATATGAATCCTAAATACAAGGGCATCATATTTTTAAAAGAAAGCATTAATAAAGCTTAAATAGCACATTAAACCCCACACACTAATAGTGGGAGACTTTAATACCCCACTCTTCCCAGTGGATAGACAGAAAATTAACAGAGAAATAAGGGATCTGACAGATGTTGTGACTCAAATGTTCTTAAGAGGCAACAATAGAACATTCCACCCAAACACAAAAAAATGTACCTTCTTCTTAGCATGCCCCGGAAACTTCTCTGAAATTGTCCACATACTCATTCACACAGAAATCTCAACAGATTCTATAGAATTGGAATAACCACCTGTATGTTATCAGATCATCATGGCTACTGAACACTGCCCAAGTTAATCACACCTGGGTCAAAGAAGAAATAAAAAAGAAATGAAAAATTCCTAGAATTCAATGAAAATGAATGCACAACATACCCAAATGTATTGATGCTGTTAAAGTGCTAAGAGGGAAGTTCATAGCACTAAATGCCTGTATAAAGAAGTTGGAGAAATCCCACACTAGCAAACTAACAGAACACCTGGAAGCTCTAGAACCAAAACAAGCAACCTCACCTAGGAGTAGTAGATGATAGGAAATAATTACATTAGGGACTAAAATCAATAAAATAGAAACAAAGAGAACAACAGAAAAAAAATCAGTGAAACAAAAAGTTGGTTCTTTGAGAAAAACAACAATAACAACAACCTTCCCCCAAAAAACCCAAAACGGACAAACCCTTATACAAACTAATCAAAAGGTAGAGAGAGAATATCCAAACAAACAAAACCTGAAGCAAAAAGGGGGGACAAAACAAAAGACAATGAGGAAATCCAGAGAATTATCAGATCATACTTCAAAAAATTGTACTCCACAAAATTGGAAAATCTTGAGAAATGGGTAGTTTTCTGGATAGGTTGCATATACCAAAATTAAGTCAAAAGCAGGTAAACAATAAAATAGTCCTATAACCCCTAAGAAAATAGAAGCAGTCATCAGTCTCCCAACTGAAACAAGCCTAGAACGAGATGGATTCAGTGCAGAACTCTATTGGAATTTTAAAGAAGACCTAATACAACTCCTCAAGTTCTTCCACATAAGAGAAACAGAAGAAGCATTGCACACTCCTCTCATGAGGCTACAGTAACCCTCATACTCAAACCACTCAAACATGCAACAAAGAGAACTGAGAACTACAGACCAATCGCCCTCAGGAGAACTGATGCAAAAATACTGAATAAAATACTGGCAAAAAATTTAAGAATACATCAAAAAATCTTCAACCAGAAACAAGTAGGCTCCATCCCAGAGATGCAGGGTTGGTACAACATATGGAAATCTGTCAATGAATCCACCATATAAACAAACTGAAAGAAAAAAATAAAATATGATCACCTCATTAGATGCTGAAAAAGCCTTCAACAAAATCCAACACCTCTTCATGGGAGTTGGGGAGATCAGGGATACAAGGACCATACCTAAACATAATAAAGGCAATATTGACAGCCAACATCAAACTAAACGGAGAGAAGCTCAAAGTGATTCCAGAAAAATCAGGAACAAGGCAAAGCTATCTACTCTCTTCATAATTATTTAATGTAGGGCTCAAGTTTCAAGCTAGAACAATAAGACAACAAAAGGAGATCAAGGGGATACAAATTCAGAAGGAAGAAGTCAAACTATCACTATTAACAGATAATATAATAGTATACATAAGTGACCCCAAAGCTCTAACCAATAACTCCTACAGCTGATAATCACCATCAGTAATGTGGAAGGATAAAAGGTTAACTTAAGAAATTCTTTAGCTCTCCTACATAAAAATGATAAAGGGGCCGAGAAAGAAATCAGAGGAACATCATTGTTTACAACAGCAACAAATATAAAACATCTTGTGGTAGCTCAAAAGAAACAGAAAGACCTGTATGATAATAACTTTAACTCCCTATTTAGTATAGTTTCTTCTAGTTCCATCCATTTGCCTGTGAATTTCAAGATTCCATTGATTTTTTTCTGCTGAGTAGTATTCCATTGTGTAAATGTACCACATTTTCTGTATCCATTTTCTTTTCCAGGTGAGGGGCATCTAGGTT